TATATATATGGAAAAAATTAAGAGACCTCGACATAGTTTCCCTGCACGATTTCTAAACTCTTTCTGAGTAAAAACAGTATTGTTGTTCTAAATGAATAGGAACTTTTTTCTATGCATTATTTGAGGTCTAAAAGCTGCATGTTTGTCATAACTTTTACCATTTCTCATTTTCTGCAAATAAACACAATTTTTGCTTGGAATTTGGAGACAAGCTGTCAGGAGTTCATAGAATAAAATAACAATATTCATTTTACTCAAAAATATACCTATAAAGAGTAAAATCATAGAAACTGAACATTTTAAAGTGTCTTATTTTTTTCCAAAAAATAAAAATGTTGCACTGACATTGGTCACTAACAGTAGAAGACCTTATATATACTGAATACTAGTCACAACTTATGCAGCCATTTTTAGACAAATACTAAGCTGAAGTTTTGTGTGGAAGTCCCCAAAAACAATCTTCAACAATACAAGATGCTAACACAGCTAACTTTAAAGACATTAATTCCTCCATTTTTTTTACTTATTGGGATTCAGTTTGTTGTGGAGTAGTTAAGAATGATCATAAGCAGATTATTTATTCAAATTCTGAACTAAGCTAACCAATAATGCTAACGCTAACTTTACAAAGGGCCTTAATTCAGCCATTTTTAAACATACACTGCTGACAACAATCTTTAAAAAAATCTAAATTTAAAAACAAAATCCAAGTTTCCCATCCACTTATCAGTTTTTTTGGGGGGTGGCACCTGGGGTGGACAATCAGGCACTTGCCCCCCATCCACCCCTCTAGCTCTGCCCCTGCTTGTTAGCAAAACAGTTCATGAAACACTGGAGAAATTGTGATGAAATAAACATCTACAACTGATTCAAGATGGCCACCACAGTTTTACAGAAAATTTATATTTGGCGTGGTAGTAGCTGAGAGTCACTCCCAATGTCTATTCTGAGTGCTAATTTTTGCATAGAACTCTGTGGGTGATAATATAAATTCTTTAAAGGAAAACTACTTTAAGTCAGAAGTTGTAGAAATTAATTCTACCTGTTTTATCCAGTCAGTTGAGACATTAAAACATTATTTTTGTGCAGTTCTTTTGTTTCTTGCAGAGCATGTTTCTAAATCTGATCCGGTTCCAGAAGTCTCCTGTAAAAGTTGTTGTCATGATTAAGTCCAGCAGCTCAGTCCTTCTCAAAAAAAGAAAAAAATGGAGATATTCAGTGAAGCAGAAGCAGCAGAAGCTCTTTTTCTCTGTGTGACTTCGGCTGATTGATCTCCCTCACATCCAGCCCCTCATCTGATGAAAATTGATTTGTTCTGTTTGGGTTTTCGATCGGTTTTCCGCCTCAGCGATTTTTCACCGCGACGTGGGCCGGGTCTCCTGTGTGAGTGGGTCCCCGGTCATAAAAGAAAAGGCCACAGAGCCGGGCCCCAGACGGCAGGCGAAGGTCGATACAAATGTTATTGAAACTGGTTATTGATATTCCCAGAGCCGAGCGCTCAGCCACTTAGACAGCGAGTCGCTCCCTCTCTGCATGCCGAGCTGGCACCGGCACTTCTGTTCATTCATGCRTTTTTTTTTCTTTTTTTAGTGGAAGCCTGAGAAAACGCTRGGGTCCCTTGTCGTTTCTTATTTTCATGCTTTCACGTTTCAGTCATGACCGGTTTGCTGAACATCTGTCAAAGTGACATCTCAATARAAAGTCGGCTGCAGTCTGACTTCTGAAGCTTCTCCTTGGCTTGTAATTTRAATTGAAAGGTTTAATTTTTTTCCGGGTATTGCTTAACTGTTTGATTTTTTTATGGCAGRACATGAAGCAACACAGACAGATATGTGGGTTAATATAATCCACTTATGGCTGCTGCTTGGAGCTCATCAATAAAACATGAATAATGACGTTAAAATGCAGGAATCTTATGTGAATTTTTCTTGTTTTGTGCTTTTTTTATGGTGATATCCCGAAGCCAGGGGTCTATTCATATGAATATTTTATAGAAAATTCATATTAAAATGCTGTAAAGTCAGAATGTGAAGAATATTTTTTCATGTTTTAACAAGGGTTTAAAAAACAACAGGTAAATCCAGGGTCAGCCTACAAATATCCTACCTATACTGTAGGATTTGAATAAATATCCAGTTTTTTCTACGTTGATTTAATTTTCTCTAAAATCACAACCAGCAACAAATTTTGCCAGTTAGCTCAAACTCTGTTGGAATTGATTTAAACTAGTTGTTTCACCTGGAGACAGATGGTTTGTGAGTTAAGTCGACACATTTAATCAGCATAAATCAAAAACAAGACCACCTGTCACGACTTTCAGCACAAAACTTCAGCTGAACACAAACAGAACAGATGGTAGCTGTTTACAGCAATCTGAAATTTAACTTTTAAACTGCAAGTGGAAGCAGAAAATTAGTTGTTTACTTTTCTTTTTTTAATATGTTTTCTAATGAAAAAATACAAATTTTCAGGCTGTTGAATTAATTTCCTGAAAATGAAGCCAATCTTACTTGTTTATGAATAAACAAACCTCACAGTACGACCTGCTTCATCACCTGAGTGGCAGAGATGGAGAATGTTTTTGTGTTAGCAAAATATCTCATGAACCATTGAACAGATTTTATTGTAACTTTCCAAAAGTAATTATTAGATCACTAAATAATCATTTCTCTGCTGCACATTGAGTCAGTAACTCTGTAGTGTAGTGATGTGCTCACTAGTGAATCAGAAGAGCCAACTCCTTTCACTGGCCTTGTGACCAATCATGTGAGGATATCGGACATGGATGGGGCACTTGGTCTTGGAGGGCCGTTATCCTGCACGTTTCACTGGTTTGTCTGCTCCAACTCACCGGATTTAAATGAAAGGGTGATTAATCGGCTCCTGCAGAACCTGAAGAGGTAATTTAATCACTGAATCGGGTGTGCTGGAGCAGAGAAACGAGTAAAACATGAAAGATAGTGGCCTCTGAGGACTAGAGTTGCCCACCCATGATATGGATCATATTATGTGGAAACAGAGAGGGGGGACGGACGTGACAATCAGGTGGAGCATCTGTCCGTCCCCTCAAGAGCCCAGCATATTTGATCTGTTAAATAAAAATMAAAAGTMTGATTAAAATATTAAATCAAAGTAAAAATTCCTGTTTTTGTAACAGATCAAACACAAGATTCGGCAGTTATAAGCCTTCTCATGAAAACACTAAATGTGAACGAGTTTCTCAGCACAAAGAATTCATATTTGCTTCGTTAAGCTGAAATATGAGGCTACAAATTATTATAAGATTATAAGAAATTCTGGGAGGCAAAAGAGCTGAACTTCCTGTCTCTACTGTGGTGGAGCGGAGCTAATAGTTTGTCAGAATGTCAGAAAAAAGTGTTTTTATTTTTTGCTCTGACAGAACAATACAACAATAACAACAACAGCACTCTACGCGACATTTTGAGTGTACGAACAGTGTTTAAACATATCCCATAATAATCTCTTTAAAGTACTACAAGTATGACTGACTTAATGTTTGCTTTAATGAATTGCTAAAAATCATAAAAGTAAAGAGTTTCACTCTGGTGATGTGAGGAGCAGGAAGTGGTCGTGTTGCACCGACTTCCTGACTCAAAACATTAATTACAACGTAAATTTAATGTTGTGTTTAAGTAAACAAAATTAAAACATTAAAAGTGTTAAAATATTGCTATATCATAAATATAAATATCAATGTATCTATTTTATCTCATATGATTTATTTACTGTTTAAACTCAACTTGTCTTTAATAGGGAAGCAGCTCATGAGGGCCCCCTGCTGGCCTGGGGGTCCAAAGCAGTTCAGTACACCTCTTAGACCAGAGGTCTTTAACCCTGTGGCTCGTAACCCACTGTACTGCATGTTTCAGCTGTTTCCCTGCTTCAAAACACCTGATTCAAATAATTTAGTGACCTACTCGGAATGTCATCAGATTTAGCAGCAGCTGTCAATCACTCGTTCATGTCAGGCAGGTGTGTTGAAGCAGGAAAACAGCTGAACATGCAGGGGGGTGGGTCACCCCTGCAACCGGTTAATACAACTAATAAAACTATAAAAATGGCTACAATTCTTTTCCATTTGCAGCTAATATTGGGTCTGTTTGTAGCTGATTTATTCACTTCCTGTACGGCAGGGGTCCCCAAACTTTTTCCTGTAAGGGCCACATAACTTTTCACTTCTCTGGTSGGGGGCCGGAGTCAGTTTGTAACAGAAAAAGTGTGACTATTGCAGGAGTGCCTAAATGTAAAAATTTATTGTTTTCCAGAAAGCTCAATCAAATAACCCTCTCTGGGTTCTTCACAGTATGTATCCTGCTGAGCTAACAGTCCACTTTTTAGCTTTGAGAGTTTGTTTGCTCACATTTGGTCTTGCAAGCTATCATACTTGTCTTTGTGACGGGATTCATAGTGTCGCCGCAGATTGTATTCTTTGAATACCGCCACTGCCTCTTGACAGATGAACAAAAAAATAATTGTTTGTCCACTGCAGCTTAAATGCCCTGCATTCTGAATCAACTTTTCTCTTACCTAATCTTTTTGCCATTATTCTGTTCTCTCTTTGAGAGAGGTGGGTTTAGGATTTCACGTTAAATGTGTMTATGTATGAAATAGTTACTAACTAATAATAGTTAATAATGAAAATAGTTCATAACTAAGGAACATTTTATTGCAAAAGTCCAACTTTATAATCAAATATAAATACACATATATGAAAAAAAAAACTAAATGCTCTCTGGTATTGTTCTGGGGGCCAGACCAAATGGGGAGGCGGGCCCGTGGGCTGTAGTTTGGGGTCCACTGCTGTACAGTTAACGAGACATTTTGTGACATCGCAAAAGATTCCTCAAGGTTGTAACAACTTAATGTTTTAAGAGATTGTTTTTGTTTTTTCCCGTTTGACGCACACGTTGTCTCTGTTTCGTCTTTATGTCCAGGAGAGCAGGTGGACAGAAAGCTGTGCTCGTCGTCCAAAGCTCCGGAGCCTGAACCCTGCGATGTGCCCTGCTCGAGGGACTGCGTCCTGAGCGGCTGGACCTCGTGGTCCACGTGCTCCCAGACGTGCTCCAGTAAGACCATCGAGGGCAAACAGATGAGGACCCGCTCCATTCTGGCCTACAACGCCGGTGAAGGTGAGTTTCTGTGTTTGGAGGAGAAACCACGAAGGCTGGATTTAATTTTATTTCTTTACTTTTGCGTTTCGTCTCGGCCTTTTCAAGTCGTCCTCTGCTGTCGCTCACCGAATGTCTGATTTCACACTTGTCTTGCTTTTGTCCTTATCTCTCACAGTCTGCTTATCTGTCCCCGTCATTATTTCTGTTGGTCCGTTTCCTCGCCTGACACTCACATTTTATCTTCCTCTCAGATCATTTCTCTGCATATTCCTGTTCTTCTGACTTTAAATCTGTGTGTTTTTGTTTTCTCCGGTTTTATCTGGGTGTGTGTTTTCCTCACAGTCACTGCGATGGTCGTGGCGTGGATCACAGTGATGGAGGGTAACAGTTCTAATTAAAGATTGCTGTTAGATACTTTGAACCTCTAGCTACGTGTTTGCATGTAGAAAAAAGAGCAACATATTCGGCTGTGTGGAGCTCTGACAAACGTTCATGATGCAGCTTTGGGGGGATTCTAATTGATTTTTTAATTTATTCAGCATGTTGCTCTTTAACTCAGTCAGTCAGGCCTTGTTGGTCAGTTGTGAAATAGCTTGTGTGTGTGTGAGTATTTATCTGTTGTCCTGCAGTAGTATTAGTGTGTGCTGCATAATGAACTTGTCACATTAACATATTTACCATCTATTCTAACAAAGGTCTGTCCCGAGTGCCCAAGTTTCCACAACTGTTTGGTAAATGTTTCACATTTTTAGTAGATTAGATGTAAAGTAGCTTTGTAGTCAAAAACGATCAAACGAAAGCTCTTTATGTTGCCAAAGACAGAGGTAATGTTTGCCTCGATTTTACTGAAGCTTCTTTCCAAGATGGCCGCCCCAGCAAAGCATGTTCATCAAATGCAAAAATGGCTACACCTCTGTGAATTTTACAGCTATTTAAAACTTTGCCATTATTGGTTAATACAGCTAACTAACCTAAAAACTATTAATCTATGAACCCTGATTGTCTGTTAGCAAAATATTCTACATACCACCTTTCTGTAGGTTTATAAAATGTTTGTTTGAACAGCTGTTGTTTTGTAATTGGAGTTATTTTAAAGTGCCTGTGATACAAGTACAAAAAGTAAAAAGAAACACCTTTATATTTAAGAAGCTTGACATAATACACATGATTTTACCCATTTTGTCACACAATTGGCAGATTTTCTTGAGAAATTGGCTCTGCCAAAGAGAAACAGGAAGTGACATCAAAGGGGAACACTTTACAAAAAGGAACAATGTTGTTTGTTTATTGAAACAATATTATTTTAACTCTGTCCTTCTAATCATGACTCAAAATAATGTAAAGATACATTAGATTCTTCTCTACAGTCTGTGTTGTTAGCCGTTATAGCAAACATTCCCCTTTGACATCACTTCCTGTTACTTCACATGCAAATATCTCAACAACTGTTCATGTCAGTGGTGTCAAATTTCCATTTGCAGTACATCATTATTGTTATCTTTCAAAAAATGAGTTCATGTTTACAACAAAAATTTGATGCCAGAGGCACTTTAAGATGGCATTAGCCGTTAGCTCGTCAGTCCAGTTGGTTGTAAACCTGTTTGCCCCTAATGCGCTATCTACAACAGGTGAGATATTGATTGTTTAAGTTTTTTTTCTGCTAAGGGCAGTTATGGCCCAGGAGGAATAGTGGTTGTGTGCCAGTTGGAAAGTTGGTGGTTCAATTCCAGCATCCCCTGCCACATGAGAGTAGCTGAACCCCCAGGTTGCTCCGTGCGTGCGTGCATGCGTGAGTGTGTGTCTAAGTGCCATTTTTCCATCAAACCCCTCTTTAAATCATCCAGAATATTCCTTTAACTCGAGCCTATTAGCTCTAAGAAGTCTTTTCTGGCTCCCTCTGCGGTGCAGATTATCTGATGAGATTTATGGCTCCCCGGCAGATTTTTCTGCAGCCCCTCTGTTGCATATTGATGAAAGGAAAAGTTGTTGAAACTACAGGAACCCCTCAAAGCGTAAGACACCAGGTTCACATTAATATGCAAACCACCGATGTTTGCATGGGACTCGCTGTTAATTAGTGCATTAATAAGCAAATTAATGACCTATTTAGCATAACTGCCTATTCAGTGGTGATTACAGTGGCACTTTGGAAAGCCTCGAGTGGCTCTCACTGTTTGACCCCCACCAGTCCAACGATGTTCAAGATAAATGTTCAGCAGCTCGGAGCTGTTTGGGAAATTATTCTGCCAACACGTGTTTTTTGAAACAAGTGATTGTAATAAAATGAACATTTTGACCAAACATTTACCGTCCAACCTACAGCTTCTTCTGGGTCGTCGTTGAGCAACTGCTTCGGCTCGTTTCGGCTGTCATGTTATCGCGCCGTCGTTAGTCAGTGAAGGTTTTGAGTCAGCAGAAAGGAAGTCGGTCTCAGAAAACTTCCTGTTGAGATTTTTTTTTTTTTTAGTTCGGCACAATTTCTGATCTGACAGCTCCAGCGACAAACTACAGGAGCTGAAGACTCTCGGCCCTTCAGCATGTCTCCATCTCTGCTGAAAAGCTTCAAATGTCGGCAATTATTCTCAACCAGGCGGACTCTCCTAGTCCTGGACAAAGACATGGCCGTCACCACTGGGAGATTTTAAAATGTTCTTTTTACACTCTTTGCAGTCTGGAAAGATGCAATGTGATTAAATAATCTTTTACCTGAATCTGGATTAAAAGAAGAAACYTTTCTGCAGGTGTGATGATTCTGTCTTCAGCTGATTTATGGAAAAGTTCATCAAAAAGGTGCTTCTTAAGGAGTTAAATTGATTGACTTCACTCCTCCCAAACATTTAGAATAATTACAGATGTTTAGGAGATTAAATCRCTTTAATAGTTATAATGTTTAAATTTATCCAGCTGAAATAAAAATAGCCATCCTTCCTGCAAGAGCCTKATAAAACAAAATAAATCAGAAGCTCAAAGTGGCCTCAGTGCCTTTTTTAAAATATAATTATTCATTGCAAACTCCACTCCTTTAAAACAAACATTTTTTTCTTTCAGCTCATTTCTTGTGACTCTTAGGTTTTCACAAAGAGCTTACAGCTGATTATTTATTCATCAAACACAAGCTAAATGAGTGACCCGTACGAAGACTCCCATATATAAAAGCTATGATGCAAGGTTTGCACCTCCRTGACGCTCTTGCATGCTCTTGCAAAACAAAGATACGTTTGAGGTCAGAGAGTTCAAGAAGTTTTCAGTTCAGACATACTTGAGTTTAATCTCGGCTCTTCTCACCCAGAAGACCAGACTTTCACTTCAGTGGCATCACATAATGATGCTTTTTAAAAACAGTGCAAGCTGCATGCTAAATCCTGTTTTCTGAGTTTTTGAATGTAAACTGGATTTGTGTTGGTCCTTAAACCGAGCTAAGATGTTCAAAAACAAATAGAACCTCAGCTGGGTCTGAGGCAGAACTTCATTATAAAAAATATGTTTCATTTATAGATCAAATTATGTACATCTGTGTTTTTCAGGAGTTATTCCAGTGAGTGGGTTGGTTTGTTGTTAACACTAGTTCTTACCCTTTATGTACCCTACCTTACCCTGTACAAACCTGGTCTTTACGCAGTTCATAACCAGTACTTACCCAGTTCTTACCAGGTATATACACAGTATCTGTATTTGGTACAAACCTGGTCTTTACACAGTTCATAACAASTACGCACCAAGTTTTTACCAGGTACATACACAGTACCTGTTTTTGGTACAAACCTGGTCTTTACACAGTTCATAGTACATACCCAGTTCTTACAGGTACATACACAGTATCAATAATTGGTACATACCTGGTCTTTACATGGTCCATAACCAGTACGTACCTAGTTCATATTACATACATACACAGTATTTATACCTCGTCCAAAACTTGCTTTTCAGTTCATGACCAGTACGTACCCAGTTCTTATCAGGTACGTACCCAGTATCTGTACTTTGTACAAACCTGGTTTTTACACAGTTCATAACCAGTATGCACCCAGTTCTTACCAGGTACATACACAGTATCTATACCTCAAACAAAACTGGTCCTTACATGGTTCATTACCAGTACGTACCTTTGTCTTACCAGATACGTACACAGTATCTGTACTTAGTACATACCTGGTGTTTACACAGTTCATAACCAGTACGTACCCAGTTCTTACCAGGTATAGACAATGGGCCTCATGCAAGAACATGTTCGTGTTCTTATCCTAAATTTCTCTTACTTTTGTTCGTACGAAGGGTTCGTACGAACATGTCACGTCAGATTCAACAAACTCTTCTATCTTCAGGAAAAGTGRGTAAATGAGCTGCGTAAATTCCACCTGTTCTATCCAGTTGCTCGTGCACGCGAGAGATTAGCATAATTACCACCCCAAAAACACCATATAAGGCTATGTTTCCTGCCTCAGATACAAGGAAGTGTCCATTCATGAAAATGACAGCAAAAATTAAAAAAGAAAAACTTTACAAGTTCAGAGATTGAAGTCCGTCTGTCAGAGATCCAGAAAAGAAAATCTGTCATTTTTAGCAGGTCAGCTGTGGAATAAAAAGAGCTGCTAAAAGTATAAACAACTGTGTTAAATCATTTTCATTTATTCAGAAGCGGCAGCGCTGCGCACGTAACCCCACCCCGCATGGTCGCAGGTGGTCTCAGTTGCGGTTCTGAAATAAGCATTTTAAAATGTTTTCAAAATAAGTCTGGCACTTTGGAGAGAATCCACGACTTGCTAGAGGGATTATGTATCCCTTCTGGCCTGGAAACGTCTCGGAGTCCCCCAGGACGAGCTGGAAGGTGTCGCTGGGGAGAGCGGGGTCTTTCTGCTGCCCCCACGACCCGATCCCGGATAAGCGGCAGAAAACGGACTGATGGACAATTTATATTGTTAGTCTAAATTATTACATTTAAAATTATAACTCTAATTCAAGCAGAATAGCCTATTGTCAACATAATTATGGAGTGTGATTTATTTTCAACTCAAAATATCTTCAAACTAACGAAATATAAGGTTATTAATGAAGAAAACCCGTCTGGATAACAGCAGACTGACTGCTGGTAAAATATACGACAGGTCTGGACCACTCGTGAATTTTGTTCGTATCTGAAAAACATCTTAGAATACGAAAACATTGGTGAATGCCACAAATTCTCCTAAATCACTCGTACGCACAACTTAAGAACAAATCTGTGCGTACGAACGGTTCTTGCATGAGGCCCATTGGTTCTAGGGACAGACTGGGATTTGTTGGGCACTGAAAGGAGGGTCTTGGTTCTGTAATATAACAAATTAATGAAATTTCATTTGTCCATGTTTTTTGGGACAAATCAATTTTAAAAGTAGAAAAAAATATTATTTGAAAAGTGTTTAAAGTTTGGTGTAACTGCAGAGCAAATTATCACCTTTTTTTCTTTGTTGTAGATTGATAAAATACTTAATTTCTGTCTTTTTTTTTAATTTGCTAATTTTTTTATATTACCTTTTCATTCCTGTATTTTTTGTTCCTCAGGCGGAGCCCTGTGCCCGAACAGCAGTGCGCTTCAGGAGGTGCGGAACTGCAACGAACACCCTTGCATGGTCTACCACTGGCAGACGGGACCCTGGGGCCCGTGCACAGAGGACCCCTCAGCCTCGTCTCTGAACACCTCCGCGGGGCTGCGGCCCAGCGGGGACGGCTCRGGTCTCTGCTCCATGGGGATGCAGACCCGAAAGGTCATGTGTGTCCGGGTCAGCGTGGGACAGGTGCCACCGAAGAAGTAAGCTGCTCATCTCATTCGTGGGATATTTTGCTAACAAACACACAGAAAAACACCTGATTGCTTGTCTCCAGAAAAGCTAGTTTGTTTGAGTCAAGTTTGAGACATTAAAACAAATAAGGAATTTAAAGGTGAGAACCTCAGATGGAGGCACTGAAAACAGTCAAAGTCTGAAAAAGCAAAGCAGGAAAAATAAATAAARAAACAGCTTAAAGGTGAAAGAGGTGGAGAGCAAAACCAGGAAGTGTCTAACTGAGCTGGTTAAGTAAGCRGAGCACACTCCGTGAAGTAAACTCCCAGTTCATATCTTGGCTTTGCAGGCGAGTGCAGATAAATAATCTCTCTGTCCCTGAAAGCCTAATTAACCCGCCGTTCGGGCTCAGGAAAGTTCTCATTGATGATAATGAGAGTAATTAAATGGTATTGATACTTTGAGGCAATTTAAACACGAGGCGAATGAGAGGCAAGATGTTTGRGGTTAGGACCACACCACACGAGGCGAATGCAAAACCAGCACCAGTTCCACTTCCTCATCTTCAGCCCGGCGTCGGTTCTGCTACAGGAGCAAAAACATCTTCATCAATGAGGAAGATGATGTGCAGGAGGCAAAACAAACTGTAATAAGTTGGATTAAATGTAAAGTCTGCTCAGGTGAAAACTGGACAGTTGATTGGGGGGGTGGGGGGTTTCAGTTTATTATTGTTTGTTTTCCCTGATATTGATTTTATATAATCTGCTGTAATTACAGGCAAAAGAGCAAACGTGTCGCAGTAAAACTAATAAATATCCCATCATCCCTCACTCAGGTGGCTTCATTATTCCTCAGCTTTCAGCTGGTTTAGAATAAAGTTTACAGTTGCCTGAAAGGTCGTCACATCCACCTKGGAGCATGTTTTATGTCCTTTTCTGCTCCAAAGTTTTGTTTCAAAATGAATAAAATAATTCAGAATCACCGATGTCTTTTGGGGGGGACTATAAAGTGCCAAGTGTAAAATATTTANAGAGGTAAGTCTGGTCAGTGGGGCTGCTTTAAGACTGTAGTCCCGAATAAAGCGCCTGTAGAAATTTGCAAACCCCAAAAAGCGTTGCAACTGCTTGTGATCCTTAGGTGTGGGCCAGTCCTCCACAGCTCTTACTTTTTCAGGGTCCGTCTGCACCTGTCCTTTCTCAAAAATAAGACCCAAAAAATTCACAGGTGAAACTCCAAACTCACATTTCTCTGCTTTTACGAACAGCTGATTCTCCAAAAGGCGTTGCAACACAGTACGGACATGAAGTTGATGCTCCTGGGCGTTCTTGGAATAAATCAAAATATCGTCCAAATAAACAAAAACAAAGTTGTTGAGAAAATCTCTTAACACATCATTGACTAATGCTTGGAAGACAGCTGGGGCATTAGTGAGGCCAAATGGCCTCACTAAATACTCAAAATGACCAAAGTGTGTTCTGAAAGCCGTCTTCCATTCATCTCCCTGCTTGACGCGGACCAAATGATAAGCATTGCGAAGGTCCAACTTTGTGAAAATAGTAGCCCCTTGGAGTCGTTCATGAATGGAGTCGATTAAGGGTAATGGGCACTTGTTTTTAACAGTGATATTATTAAGCCCCCTGTAATCAATACAGGGTCTTAAGGACTTATCTTTCTTTGCCACAAAAATGAATCCAGTGCCTACTGGAGAGGTGGATGGCCAGATTATACCAGAAGCTAATGAAGATTCAATATACTCCCGCATTGTCTCCTTCTCTGGACCAGATAAGTTATATAACCGACTGGATGGAAGCGGGGAGCCAGGGAATAAATCAATGGAGCAGTCATATGGTCTGTGGGGGGTAGAGAGAGTGTTTTGTTTTTACTGAAGACAGGAGCCAAATCATGATAACAGGAGGGAAAGGACAATAGATAACTATTTTCTTTATAGGGGGGCCGAGGTCTGAAGCAGGAAACAGCCGTTTTTAAACAGTGTTCAGAACAAAAGGTGCTCCAACCTTCAATGTGTCTCTTTTGCCAGTTAATGTTGGGGTTGTGTTTCCTTAACCAAGGATAACCAAGAATAACTGGGGGTTTATCAGATTGAAAAAACAAAAAACTCACCCCGATCATGGTGATTACCAGATGGGCAACTGAGAGACTTTCCGGGAAATTGTGGAGACATTTTGACCAGTGAGTGCAGCCATGGACAGAGGTTGTGGAAGTTCCTCAGTAGGGATGGAAAGTTGTTTGACCAAGTCATCACTGATTAGTGACTGTTCAGCACCAGAATCTATTAAAACAGAAACAGGGGAGTTAATGTTATTGACACAGATTATAGCAGGCAATGAAAGAGCATTTTCAGGAGAAACTGTAGCTGCACCCACCAGCATCTCCTGTTTTACTGGTGGGACTGGCCTTTTAAACGTAATGGACAGGAAGCAATGTAATGTCCCACTTTGCAACAATAAATGCATTCTCTTGCCATAAAACGGCGCTGTCTCTCCTCAGGGGTTAGTCTAGAACGTCCAATTTGCATTGGTTCGGGTTCAGAAGCAGTTATGGGTGACATCGGGAAACTGAGGCCTGATGCAGGAACCGGAAAAGGGTGAGACCAGACACCCAAAGAATTATGGGAACTGCAGTTTTTCTCTCTCCTTCTCTCTTGTAGACGGTTGTCAATACAGATAGCCAAATTGATGAGTTCATCGAGATTTTGTGGTTCATCCCTAGTAGCAAGCTGAACTTTTATTTGTTCATTCAAGGAATTTGAGAAAATGCCTCGTAGGGCTCCTTTGTCCCACCCAGTTTCCTGGGCAGCAATGTGGAAGTGGATAGAAAACTCAGCGACTGTCTGTTTACCTTGTTGTAGCGTGAGGAGCTTCTTAGCTGCTGCCTCCTGGTGAAGTGGACGATCAAACACTTTCTGAAA